ATATATATATATATATATTTCTGTAATATAATAATTATTAATATTAATAATAATATTATTAATAATAATAATAATAATAATAATAATAATAATAATATTTACATTAAATTAAAATCAAGAAAAAATAGTTGGTTTGTAAATTGGCAACGATTATATTTTGTTGCCAAATCGCTTGGAGCATTTACAACAAAAAATTTCGTTGTCTTTCGTCACTTACTGGCAACAAAATTAATTTGTTGTCGTTGTATATGTATTTACTACAATTTTATATCGTAGCAAAAAGAAACAATCTTTTGCAAAAAATGAAGTTGTTGTCTTACATTAAATTCGTTGCGAAATATCAGTGTTCTAAAAATCGGCCGAGGCGGCCGATTAATCGGTCTCCGAGGCAGAGGCGGTCCAAAACCTTTACGATTTCAGTGTAAAGGTTTGAAAAATCGGTTTTTTGCCTGTGAGGCGGTTTTAAGCGGTCTGAGTCGGTCCGAGCCGGTCTGAGGCGGTCAAACCTTTAAGGCGGGTCAAACTCGGTGGCAAAAATCGGTCAAAAATCGGTTGAAAATCGGTTTTTTTTTTTTTTTTTTTTTTTTATAATTCAAAATAAAAGTTGGATTTTAATAAAAGAAAATATGAGTTTATGCCTTATTTTGTTTATGTTAATTCTTATTATGTATGCCACGAATGTTCAAAAATAAATGTAAATTCAAAAAAGAAAAATTTTATTTATATTTTATAAGGATATTTATGTATTATGATCTTATGATTATTAAACTTTTATTATGTTATTAGGATATATACATGATGGAGATATAACTATGTTTAAATATCTTTTTATATATGTTTGGAGTATTTATAAATAATATTTAGAAATATATTATATTAAATTTTAAAAACCGATTTATTTCCGATTTATCACCGATTAATCACCGCCGCACCGATTAATCGTGAGTCGGTGCCTGACCGACTCGGACCCGATTACCGATTTTTACAACCTTGCGAAATATATATAAATGATACTATTCACAACAGTAGTTTTCGTTGCCTATGAGATTCAAAGGAAACAAAAATATCTTGTTACAAAAAGTTTATTCTTTAGCCACAAATACTATATTTCGTTGCTAAAATATAATTATTGTCAACGAAATTAATTTCGTCCATAAATACATTGTTGCCTATTTTACATTTTCTTGTAGTGCCTATAGATTTTTATTATGTAATATATGCCCTCGATTTTCCAAAATAAGTGCAATAAATTATAATTTGGATGAATTAAATTTTCCTTTTTGCATGTTGGAAATATGATAAGATTATAATAAGATTATACTAATTTAATTAAAATTTTAGCAATTTAAACCTATTTTTACAATAGTTCTGAACCTATATCATTTTTCAGGGTGCTGTCTCAAACCCTGAGAATTTAGTAAGCCCCCTATTATGTGATCCTTGGTTCGCCTCTGCGCACATGCACACACATATATAGTGTGTGGATGCATGTAAAATAAGTATAGATCTATACATGTGTACAATAGAATATAATCCGATGAAGTTACCAGGTATAGCATGTAAACAAATTGAATAAAAAACAATACAAATAAAACATGTTAGACGTATACCAATCCCACAAACGAAACGAATTATCAAATCGGTCGTTATTGCTACGTAATTTAATCTAGATTTATGGAAATGGTCTGAAGCTTGATTCCAGTTGAATATGACTTAGTTTAAAGGGTAAATAACGCTTTACAATGTAGAGGGTTTAATGTCGTTTGATCGATTTGAGGGAATATTTTTTTAAATGAAATTTAGAATCACATC